CCCAAGCAGGGTTTACAGGAAGCTCTCTCTTTCTTCCCTGAACTGGTACTGCACTAATGAATCCATCCACCTCCATCCTCTGCTGAGCAACCTCTCACATGCAGGCCCTGGGGAGAGAGTAGTGCCTTGGACATAGCCTCCGACACAGGGTTGGCTATGGGCTAGGGAAAGAATGAATACAAGACCCTACTCTCTACAGGATTTGAATAAGCACTGATGACCTATTTCCTCGGGATCCAGAGTTTCCTTTCCTGAAGACAAAGAGAACTAACTGTGACAGCTATTCATCCTTACTTGTCCTGGAAGTTCTAGGGACACTCAATGCAGACTCTTTGTGCAAATAGCGCAATACCCAATGAGCCTGGGTATTCCACACATTTGCCTCCTTCTGCTACATGCTTAATCATCACCAACTTGGGGGACATTCTAAGTCTTCAGTATAGGCCCAGCTCTGTACAGGATATTGGGGAAGCAGGGATGGACCAAATATAAGTCAAGGTCTTGGCCCTCCAGGAGCTGACAGCCAAGTAGCACACACCCAGAAGTCAGCAGTTATGCATTTCTTGTCTGTAAGGATGTGTGCTCAGGTGCTCTGGGCACAGGGAGCAGAGGGCTGTCAATCGACTAGATATGGGGGGAAGGAAATGATGAGCAGACAGGAAGTCAGTCAGAACTAAGCAGAGGCAGTGCTACTTAGGGAAGAAGGGGTGGGTTTGCCTATAAAAAAAAAGGTGCCTAGGAAAATTTGAATTCCAGATAAATAAGAGCTATTCTGTAGTATAAGTAGCATCCAAATATTGCATGAGATATACCTAGACTATAAATTTTTCATTGCTTATCTGAAATTCAAATTTTACTGGGCATTCTCTATTTTAATTTACTAAGTCTGGGAACCTGATGAGTAGGAATTGGTATAAAGGTCATGGAGGGCATTGCAGACAGAGCAAAGACCATTTGCACACAATGCCTGCCAAAGACAGGAGGCAAGCGAAAGCAGGCAGGCTGGGTGAGAAGAGACTGGGTGATTAGTGGGGCTGGGGAAGCGACACTGGGGGAATTTGGAGGGCAAGTAGTAGATGTTCCCCGCCTGGAGTTTGGGACTGATGAGTGTGAGGTTTTGGATTAGAGAAATAGACAATTCAATATTTTTGTTTCAATTTAAAATGTCATATTAAAATTTGCCTTTCATTTTTAGTTGTTCTCTTTCTGGAAGATAGTATGTAAACCTACAGTTTGTACATTTCTAAATAAGTTACTCTATCCATGAATTTATAAAAATTGTCAGGCCCAGTTTGACAAAGTGTCCCCTGAAAGGTAAGCCCATGTGTCCTTCTGAGCAGAGGCAGGACTGGGTCCACAGGTGGCCTTGTAGGGGTCATCTGATGGTGCTGTTACCAGCCACTGCTTGTGGGGGAGGAACCTGCAGTTTCCTCCACAGGAAAGTGTTCTAGTGCATTGCCTCTCGTTGGTGGCTGGGTCCCAAAGTGGGGGAAGGGTTCAGCAGTTGCAGCTGGGACACCCAGTGAGTATCCATCAAGAATGATGCAGAAGGGATGCAGATGCCAGAAAGTGGTGAGGCTGGGTGCACTTTCTGCTTTCCCAGACATTTCAAAGCCCAGTAGTATGCCCAGTCAGTCCTTGAAAGAATTAGGGGGTAGAAATTGCTTGCCTTAGAGGTGGAAGGGAAAGAAGCCTGTCCAAGTAATACTGCTAGACTTGGCAATGTCTTGCATGCCATGCCATACAGCTTTAAGCTTTTAGACCCTGACTGAAGGCCTAACTACACACCTCATGTGACCCTAGACACTGAGAGTTCACATCCTTCCTTTTAGCAGGGCAGGCATTAGGAGTTTGGTCTTACAGGTGAGAATGCTACAGCCAGCAGGGTGTGGAGGACACACTTTCTAGGTGTCCCACGCCTGTGGGAGCAAAACTGAGGCTATGCCTACTGTTCTGACTCAGCCAGAACACTTTTTTTTGCCTTGTTCCAGACCTGCTGCTAGGGGGCCACAGGCAGGAGTCCCTCTGTCCTGTTGCTGCCCTGACAGCCCATGGAGCAGACTTCTGAGGGTGTCTCTGGAGAGAGTCCTAAAAATCATGAATCATGAGCAGAACAGAAGTCTCTCCCACCAGAGTCTTGAGCTCTCAGCATGGGAAAAGGCCACCAGGCCCCTCAGCTTCATGCCTGGGGGCGACTGAAGAGTGCCTCCTGAGGCTGGTGTTGTTAGGCAACAGGGCATTCACTTCTAATTTTCAGGGATGAGCATCTAGCAATGCTGGAAAATCAGAACTTTTTTGAAACAAGAAACATAAATTTAAAGCTGAATTTGCTTTGATTCATTTAAATCACTGGATAAAGAGGGAGGCATAGGCTTCCAGACCAGTTAGATAAGAGGGAACTCAGGTTCTGGGAGCTGGGCTAGTTAATGGCATAGTCAAAGAGCTTTGGTCCTGAACTTTCTCCTGTGTATGCATGCACACACACACACACACACACACACACACACACACACACACACCCACCCATTAGAACAGGGGTGACTGGATTTTTAAGTATAAAGTTCTGACAGTGTAAAAAATGGCAAAAATACCATACATGCTTCTGAAATACGAGGTTCTCTCTAGTCCTGTTCTCCATATGTGAACTGACCCGAAGTGACTCTCTAGGGTCCCAGCATGATTCAAGGTTGTCAGTGGGACAGAGACCTAGGGTCCTTCCTTTTCAGCAGGGCATTGGAAGGAAGCAGCCATTAGCAGATTCAGGCCTCAGGGTCTACTGACTCTGTTTGCCCTGGATCTGACTGTGTCCCTGCTATAACCTGGGAGGCTCAGCTCTAGAGCAGGAAGACCATCAGAGGTGAGGTGAGGCTGCTGGGCACTGAGGGGAGATCAATGTCAGTGTGAGGTGACCAGACACAGGCTGGGTCTTCCTGTGAATGGATTTGTGAGACTGGCTCCTAACTGGGGACTTTGAGGGCTGACGGAGTTACAGTCACATGGACTAATTTCCAGAATTTTGACAGCAGCCTTGCCAAATCCTCCTACCATTTGGGAAGGTTGTACAAACACAAGTGAGGGGTCAGCTACGTTGGGATCCAGAGGTGAGAGAATGTTATCCACAAACACCAGTCCTTCCAGTGAGCGAGTTAGCACACACTCGGGGACTGGGACTGAGGGCCTAGCCTGAGGAGTGAAAAGGACCCCCTACCAAATACCATTTTTCTCTAAATGCCCCTTGAATGGGAACAGTTGCCTGGTCTCCTGTGGTCTATTCTCTATGAGGAATGTCCTCACCAGCTCCTCAGGCTGAGCAGTACAACTTATTTCAGGATTAACCCTTGGCCATCCAAAATGTTGCTCTGTATCCTCTGTCTCTTTGCCCCCATCCTGTGCCTCTGGCTTTGGGGTGTTTTGCATGGTCTAGAAAGGACAGAGAGACCTGTACCATCTGCCAAGTGCGTCTCTGGAGAGACGCTCCCCGCCCTTGAAGTGGACTCACACCCTCTGTGGGGGCATGACTGCTTTAAGGAAATAGCACTGCTTCTTCACAAACTGTAGTAGTTTTACTTGGAACCTCTCCATCAAGAAATTAGGTTTGCAGAGCCCAAAGTCAGCTTCCCCAGAGCTCTACAAACAAGCCAGCCCAGCAGTGTCACACCTCCAGACCTAAGATCCTGTCTGTCACTAGGGGAGGTTCCATTGTGCTCAGGCATAGATTTTAGCATCTTTGGCTTTCCTTCACCCACGCTTAGGGGCACAAGCATGTGGAGCCCCAGTGGTGCACAAGCTCCTTGTAACATGTCTGCTGGCCTGGGGTCAGTTGTGGCCACGTTCCCAGCTCCAAGAAGCTGAAAACTCCTTCCCCTGGGGATGTTTGAAACACACAGTGCAAAGAAAGCTCAGGAGGGAGATGGAGAGAGGCAGCAGGTCTTCTGCTCCCAGGGCACAGATGAGACAGACAGCTGAGCTGGCTCTGCCAATACTGTCCCATTGGCTTCTGCCTTGCCAGGACCTTTGGTTTTGACTTGAGGTTCATTGACTGGGTCTGAACATAGCATGTGTGCCTGAGTGATGAACTTAATATTTACACAAGCCATGTTGATAAGTACACATGTGTTTTTAATGTTTGGGCTTTCTACACCACAAACATGTCAATGCATATATGTGTGCACACACAGATGTGCTGTTGGCTGGGGTGGAACTTGAGTAGGGGTTTAAAAAACTATTTAGAAAAAAATTTTAAAGTTGTCCTCTCAAGGGTAACACCTTTCCGAGCAATTATTTCCCACCAACCTGAACAACTTTCACCTCCTGCCTCCCTTGAGGGTGAGAGCCACCAGGCAGCTGGGTCACCTGGAAAAATGCGATGGTTTGAGCACAGCACAGAGTCAGCAAGCCACCTTCCCTGTCTTTGCGGGAGGCAGCAGGGGATTTAAAAGCAGACAGCACTTACTTCAGTCTTCCCATAAACGACTGTCTGTGCGTATCCTTGGAGAACAAAACTTCGGAGTATCGCTGCTCATGTGAGCGTTGCTGCTTGAAATCAGGACAGTGTAAAAGCAGTCTTCATAATCTCAGGACTTCCTATCAAGGCTCTGCTTCTTCGCACACCGATCCACATCAATCACAAACATTTTCCTTACGCACCACCCCACTTCTGTCGGCTCCTTTTTTTATCCTTCCCATCTTACTTATTTATTTCTCACTTTTGCTTTGGAAGGGGTGTTGACCTGTGTCTAGTTGTACCAAACCGAGCCCCCTGGCCAGGGAGGCGATTGGCTCCTGGTGCCGGTGACGGTCGGGGAGCCGAGTGCGGCCGCGCAGCCGGGCGCTGATTGGCTGCGCGCTGAGACTCAGCTCGGCCACCCGCGCGGCGCCTCGCCCGGCCTCGCTCCTCGCTCGCTCTCGCAGAGGTGTCGCGCCCGCCGCACCGCCGCGCCTCGGGGACGCCCGGACGCCCCTCGCGGTTCTCCGCCGCTGCGCCCGCGGTCGGCCAGGGCAGTCCCGGGCCGGGGACTCGGAAGAGCGCGCGGCCGCGAGCCGGGCCGGGCTGGGCACAGCGCCTTTTGTCCCCAGAGCCTCCTGCAAGTTCGCTGCGGGACGCGCGCGGGCGGCCCGACGTCGCCGGCATGGGCAGCGGGTTCGGCGCGGGGGGCGTGCTGCTGGCCCTGGCCGCGGGGCTGCTGGCCTCTGGCTCGGCCAGCGAGTACGACTACGTGAGCTTCCAGTCGGACATCGGCGCATACCAGAGCGGGCGCTTCTACACCAAGCCGCCGCAGTGCGTGGACATCCCGGCGGACCTTCGGCTGTGCCACAATGTGGGCTACAAGAGGATGGTGCTGCCTAACCTGCTGGAGCACGAGACCATGGCCGAGGTAAAGCAACAGGCCAGCAGCTGGGTGCCCCTGCTCAACAAGAACTGCCACATGGGCACGCAGGTCTTCTTGTGCGCGCTCTTCGCCCCCGTGTGCCTCGACCGGCCCATCTACCCGTGCCGCTGGCTCTGCGAGGCCGTGCGCGACTCCTGCGAGCCCGTCATGCAGTTCTTTGGCTTCTACTGGCCCGAGATGCTCAAGTGCGACAAGTTCCCCGAGGGGGACGTCTGCATCGCCATGACCCCGCCCAATGCTACCGAAGCCTCGAGACCCCAAGGTAAGGGCGCCTTGGACCCCGCGGGCTCCCACGCGAGGCCGGACTTGCTCCCGCGGCGCAGGCCGTCTGTGCACGGCCGAGCGCGCCCAGGTGCCGCGCGGCGTCTCTGCCAACTCGGCCTGGCGGGGCTTGCTGGGCCCGGGAGCCTCTGTTCTCCATCGGGTCTCCCCTTTTCCCTTTCAGAAGCCGAGCCTTACATTTTTGTAGCCTGAGAGGTTGCCTCTGTCAGGGTAGGGTATTTGCCCATCCCATGCCAAAGTTTTTAATTCTCCCAAGCGGGGCTGCTCTCGCGGGGAAAACACGAACGCCAGAGTGGGAAGCTCAGAACCGCTGAGAGAAAGCTAGGCGCGGCTTTATTTTCACAGGGTTGGAGAGCAACTTTAAACAACTTTCTTAAGCTGCGCAAAACTGACCCAGGGAAAGAAGTGTAGACATCGCGGGGATTTCTTCACCTTTTCTCCTAACAGTTCTGTTTAGGGATCTTCAGGACTTCCTCGCATACCCCCTGCTTCTCTCATTCACGAAAATCCTCAGGTAATTAGAAAGATAAAAATGTAATTAACTCACTGTTGGTCTCCTCCGTGGGGAGTGGGCCCTGGAAATTGGGATCTGCAAATTCCTAACCCCCCTGGGGACCTGAGATTCTTCTCTGAATCCCTTGCTACTCAAAGGGCAATTCTTGAATGGCAGAAAAAAGAAAGATCCTTGGAGATAAAAAAAAAAAAACAAGTATACCCCAGCCTGGTGGCCTGACTTATAGGAACGAATTCAGCCCAGAATCCTGTCAAAGCAGAGCTGAGACTCAGAGCTGGGTGGAGGACCTGAGATAGGGAGCTGTACCAGGGGTGCTTAGCCCAGGGACCCACATCTTGGGGCCTTTTGGGGCAGTGGGGAGAGTTGAGCTCATCTGGAAGTGTTCAATGTCTTTTGACCTCTGTTACTGCTACTAAAAGGATGAGCAAGCTATCACTGGCTCCCTGAGTGAGGATGGGTTAGATGTGGGGAAAAGGATGCCCTGAAGTTGGTACCTCTGCTCTTGCTTATCCTAGGGAGAGAGATGGCCCCAGAGGGGTGGGGGCACAGGGATAGACACCTCCCTGGGTGGGCGGGATGGGCAGCCCTGCTTGCAGGGGCCAGTCCCAGGCACCTGTGCGCTCAGGGCTAGCCTTCCAGAGGGGCAGCTCTTTGAAAGCAGCTCTGAGTAGTGACCTAAAGTAAAGCACTTTGTGTCTTGCGGGTATGGAACTGTTCCTGCAGTCCTCAGGTTTCCCTTGCCTCAGCAGCTGGGGGTGAGTGGCCCTGCTCTGGAGGCTGTGACCAGCTCTGCTTGGCTGAGTCCAGTCTTGGTGACCTGTGGTGGCCTCTTTCTGGGGTTGTTTGTGGACAGAAGTGGAGACTTCTGAGGAGCAGATTGTGGGGGCAGCTATGGCTCCAGGGAAGGATGGAGCACTGGATAGGCTGGTGCCTGGTCATGAAGGAAAAGAGCTCCTCAAAGCCTGCTGTGGAGTGGGCAAAAAACCCTCTGTTGCTAACCCCTGGGTGCCTTTTCCGAGGTCACTGTCCCCTTGTCTGCTATCTTTCTGGACCTAGGTTCAGGCCGTCCCCTGCCAAGTTCTGTGCTGATCAGAGAGAATTTCTGGGAGAGGATCAGTCAGGAGTGGGACTAGACTGGTGCTCTCCTCATGTCCAGAGAGGGCCCGGGTACCTGCCCAGAACTGTAGCTCCTTGCTGTGAGGGAGCCCATGTGACTTCCCCAGCTGCCTGGCCACTGTCAGCTGAAACTGGAGGTGGGAGAGTGTGTGTGTGTTTGCGTGTGCACGCACGTGTGTGTATGTGTAGGGCAACCTGAGACAGACTTAACACTTGTCCTCAAAGCCTTATGGCTGGTGACTCTGGGACAACAACTAGTAGTACTTTTGAATGACAATGAATATTGTATCTTCGAACTGATCGTTTATTTACCTTTTATTCTTTGAAATTAAAACTGAATTTTTAATACAGTGTCATACCCTTATATACTTAAGACTGGTCTCTGTTTACATACATGGGCATATAGAGTTTTTGGGGTACTGGGCAGCAACTTGTTATTAAGGATAAATCTGATAATGAAAAAAGACTCAAAAGACATTCTTCTCCCTAAAGGCAGATGCCCAAGCCACATCAGTCTGTGTTACAGGGCAGGCAATTGTTCTTTTTCCAAGACAGTGACTTCTAAATCTTGTACTCATATTAAACTTGTTGAATTCCAAGGCCAATAAATTGTTCCTCTTTCCTGCCAGGTTTACTGATGCAGTGCATTGGTTTAGTGCTGTTGTTGAGGCATGTTGTGCATTAAACCCACCAGGCTTTTTAGGCCCAGATCGTGGAGGCTACAGTGCTGTTGCCTCCCCACTGCCGCCTGCCTTAGGATCTCTTCATCCATCTCTCATCAGCTGTCCAGGGAAAATTGGCTATGCATACGTGTGTGTGTCTGTGTGCACACATTAATTTAAAAAGTTCAATTTAAAAGTGACTCCAGTGTTAGGCTTTCTCTTCTGAAATATTAACAAAATAAAAAACCTTGTACTGTTTTGTTCATCTATTTTAAACATTATTTTAAACACATCTTAAGACAGTGATTCAGCCTTGCCTTTCAGATAGAGGCCTGGGTGGCTTTCTCTTGCCCAGGCAGCCTACAGGGCCCCAAGGACACACGAGGAGGTGCAGATTAATATTATATTACACATTCCTCTCCTTTCTCCAGAAAAAGCTAGTCCAGAGTCTGGCTGTAAGAAAAGTCCAGATAGAAAAAGCCATCTTGAAAAACACACTGAGCTCCCCAAAGGGAGGTCTTGCTACTGAGAGTCCTTGAAGTCCAAAGGTGTAATTGATGGGACTGGGGAAAATGCCTTTGTGGGGTTCAAAGTCTGCGGATCCAGGGAGCTGCGGTGAGCATGTGGAGGGGAGGGGAACTTGGCCTTTCTATTCAGGTTTCCCTGACCTTACTACTTTTTGGATTAACATTATATATGTAGAATTTTCCAATTCAATAACTTCTACTTAAAAACATAAACAAGGATTAGAAGTAACTAAACGAGGAAAGCACAAAGTACAGGTCACTCTCTTGAGCACATAGGGCTTCCTTTCCCTTTTTTTTCTCTCCATGGAAGCAAGAACCATAATGGGAAATTCTGGGCAAGTTTTTTTCTTTGGTAAGAAACATCACCTCCAGAATTCAGCCTCAAGTTCTGGGTGCAAAGCATATTTCCAACATCTGCTCAAAGACAGTGAAGCCACCCTCTGCTTGGAGTGTGTGCTTGGGGCACGAGATTACCTGCAAGGTTCAGAGTACCGGTCGGAGAAGTGAATGTCAGGACAGACTCGGGTGTGGCCTCTGCTGGGCTGGCAGGATCCTTCTTGGATCCAGCTGGAGAGGTCTGGGGTGCCAGACCTCTGTGGCCTACAGGAATCCTGCCCAGGTCAGGCTTGTAGCTCACTCCTGCTCCATCTTGGGGGGCTTTGTCCACTTCAGGGTCTGAGCCACGGGGGCTCCAAAGGAAGGGAGGTCCTACTGCAGAAGCCATGGAGGGGCAGAGGAAGAGGAAGACGAAGAGCAACCCCTTCCCATCCCCTTGCTTTAGTCTCAGGGGGCACTGTCCTGTACTTTGTAGCTGCAGTGCAGCTCAGCTTGACGACGTGGCCTGGTGTGGACTGTCCTTACAGTGTGGTGTGCTTCCCTACGTCCTCTGTGAGTTGTTTGCTAGTTGATGATGAAGAGGAGGAGGACAGCAATCATAAGCCACTTTGGCCTTTCAGGCTCCACTGGGCACTTCCCCCTGTCCTTCCAGCTGAGAGGCTGCTGGCCCTGGCCTCAGAGGTCTCCTCCCTGTGGCCCAGCCTGCCTGCCCCACACCCCTCCTCTTCAAAGGCTTCACAATCACTCCTGAAAGACCCTGCAGAGGGTGCCCCCTGGGCCAGCTCTCTCCTCCATTTGGCAGCTCAGGCCCTGCCTCCCTGCCCCCACCCTGCTGCTTTACTGGAGCTCCTATTGCTGGCCCTTGGGAGAGGGGTGTTCAGAGCTTTGGGGCTGAAGCTCCTGCGCCTGTGTCTTTTTCTTTTAGCTCCTGTAGAGCAGCTGGTCACATAGATGGGCCATCTTCTTGGAAGTTTGCTCATTGGAAGGGGGCAGAAATCAGAGGGGGATAGCTGAAGGATAGGGGAAAGGACCACAAATAGATGACTGAAATAGTCTGTTTTGATTTATAAGCCAGCTTTTTTCAGGGTCTCTCAGCAGCCCATAAACCAGGCTTCCTGGGACTTGCCTGCACCTACTTGGATAGCATTAGTTTAAATGTGTCACATTCAGGGTCTCTAGACCAAAATATTTAAAGAAACGATTTACCTGCTTATAGCTTAGATCCTGCACTTGATCTTAGCCAAAAGGCCGAGAGGCGATGGCTTAGATCCTGGATTCAAGGGTCCTTCTTTTCAATTCTCAGGTCACCTTTCAGAATTTCTAGAAGACCCTATCTGCTTTCAGCCTGCTGCCCATGATGATCTCCTTCTCAGGGGAACCCCTTAACTTACAGCTTCTATTTTCCCTCTTTCCCTTCCTAGGTACGACTGTGTGTCCTCCATGTGACAACGAGTTGAAATCTGAGGCCATTATTGAGCACCTCTGTGCAAGCGAGTTTGGTAAGAAAGGGTTCCAGGCCACCTCTGGAGGGCTTGGGATCCCTGTCTCCTGCTGGCTTCTGTCCCCAGGAACAGAAAGCCTGTGGGTACATCTTGTTAGAAATTTAGATTCTCCACCTCTGTCTTATCCCGAGGGCTGCTTGTCCCACACAGACAGAAGACAGGACAGGAAGGGGGACCAGACAGTCTCTGTTCAGGTCAAACTGCTCTGCCCTTCTGTGAGAGGGGGTGTCACTGTACAGATTTGGGGGGCTTTCTCTAAGACAGGCTTGGGGACCAGTGAGGAGGAGCTAGGTAAGCACAGCAACTCTTTGGAAGCTGCAAAGTAGAGGGAAGAGGTCAGTCCCTCTCACCTGCTCTCTCCTGCAGCTCCAGCCTGCAGCTCCACCAGCTCCTCCTGTCAGATGGATGGCTCTTTCTATATCTACCCCTAGGTGTCAGCACTACTCTACCCAGGATTTCAGTGGATGACCTGGGGTACTTTCCTAAGAGGGGGGATATTTCAGTGCTTGGAAGTACAGAGGAAGGCCCCCAGGCAGGTTCTTCAGACAGAGCAAATTGACATCCCCACGGTGGTGTGCTTTCTTTCCCTCCCCAAGTCACTCTGAGTTGAGATAGAATTGCACACCAGCACTCTAGGATTAAGGCTGGGCGTAACCTGGGCACAGATCCCAGGACCTCTCAGGGCTGGTCCCACACAGTCTGGCCTTCAGGAGTCCTGAGTGCCAAACACTCTGGATGTCTCTTCTCGGGAGAGGTCAGGTGGGAGTGGGGTCCCTCCAACTCCCAACCTATCTCTGTCTCTGTCACTCGTGGATGTGGAGAGGCTGCCCACCAGGCCCAGTTTGCCGAAGGACAGGTTCAGCCTGATGCTGAACATTGTGTTTCTCCTAATTCCTGCATTGTGTCCTCGAGGTTGGATTTCTTACAGAATTCTTACCAGGAAAAACATAAAGGTAGGTAATGTGAGTCTTGCTCTCTATTCACAACCCCTCCTCTGTGTTCTTAATCAGTTGCACAGAAGGGTTTTGTGTTGGTAAAGGGAGTAGCACACGGAAGTGGAAGGAAATAGTGCACCAGTACATCTGCAGGCCATTTGCAGCCATGTCTAAGTTACAAGTTGAGGAATTCAGACCCTTCGCCACTGAGAGCTTCATGAGAATCGATATTTCTTTTGGTTTTTATTTTGATGTCCCTACCTGCCTCCATCATTCTTGGGGAAGGACAATGGCACCCCCAAGAAAAATTGTTCTCCTGTACATTTTGCTGCTTGGGTTTGAGTCACATTCTTCTTTTCTTTGGCCCTTTAAAATGAACTCAAGTAAAATTATAGAGGGCACCTGGCAGGATGCATGGCACATCTGATTGCCCTTCTGTCTACTGAGTGTCACTCACAGCCACTGCATGGTTCACGGGGGTGCCCCAAGCCAAAGGTCTCCTGCTGTAACATCTGTGGGTATACAGCCCCACATGACCTCAGCAACAAGCCTTTCATCCCCAAAGATGTACTTGGTTCCTTCCCAAAGGTACATTTGGACACAGGAAAAACAATGACATACACAAAATCTCTCAGTCATCCTGAGAGAATAACTTATTTCGAGGCAGGAAAAATTGGCTCAGCTGTGGCCAAGATCCCAAAGGATCCTCAGAAGGGATATTCAGATATGGTAAATCACAACAATCTCTTTAGAAGTTGGCTCTCTAACATTTTACAAATCCAGGGAATATTAGAGTAAACTCTGAAAGGTGTAGATAGTTATGTTCATGTGATTTTATCAGGGAAGAGTGATGGAAGCCCTCGGCAATGAGCATGTAGAGGTGGCTGGTGGGTGCTGTCTTCCCAAAGATCTCAAAATTCAGTGTATTTGATAATTTGTATGTACGTATCCCTCCATTCAGCATTTATTGAGTACAAGTCACTGGGCTAGATATTGTAATCCAAAAATACTCATCTAGCCTAAATTATAATTTAAATTTTAGATTTTAAACATCCAGACCAAATACCAACCAATGATTTGCTAGAGGATCATGGAGTTGGGTTATAATTCAGAGGCTGTAGATGGGGTTGTGGGAACTCAAGGCCAAAGGTAGTGTTAAGAAGCTGAAAAAAAGTGGATCTCCATCTTTGTGCTGAAAATCTTTATTTGAAACTCACCAACCCCAAATCATCATCAGATTTTTTTGCTGTTCTCCCAGTTGCTCACCAAAACTCAGGTACCTCAGACACATGCCCTAGTTAAACTAGACACATCCCATGTCCGAGGCCTGGAGTGAAGAGGCCAGCCTTAGGAAGGAATTGGAATGTGGCAAGGCTGACTTTGTACAAAGGAGGCAAAGGTCCAGGGGACACTCTGACCTTTCACCTGTGGTGGATGCCCTTTCCTGCTGCAGCAGGTGCCTGCCAGGTAGTCAGCAGGACCCCAGTGTGCTGCTTATGGGAAGTAGGGTGAAAATAAACAGTCAGGTCCAAGACTCTGAGTGATTAACTGTTTGGGATTGTGTCCTTTTAGCCCGAGATTATTTTCTTCTTGGGTTCACAGGTCTTCTGAGTTTGTCTAGAACCTTCAAGGTCATCTTACCAAGCCCTCTCTTTTAATAAATAAGGAGTCTGACTTTCCCAACTGGAGTACTTTTACTCCCTATAGCATGGCCTTCCTCACAAGACAGTGAACTGTTAGGGCCTTGCCATCGAGACGCTGATGTGTGCAGTGCAAGTATGATAGATGCCAGAGTTCTTTGATGGGGGTGAAGGAGAGACATTTTTGGTTTTTGTTTGTAATGTTCTTATGAAACAATAAATAGGATCCCCCCACCCCTTGCAGGGGCTGAGCTTAGCTTTGCCCTTCTTAGCACCCTGGAGAATGCAGCCTTGTTGAGAAACTTGTTTCCTAGCTCATTTCATTTCAAGTAAGTGAGGCAGTCAGCCACGCTAGTGGGATTCAGTTAGAAAACAAAGACATTTGACAATGTGAGCTGACACACAGCAGAGAAGAGAAGGAATGTCTGACTCTGTACCCCAGGGATCAAACTTTGTGTTAAGCGGTCTTGACATCCCAGTGGGAAGACATCAGGTTGCTGGAAAGCTCTCTGTGAGCTCCGCAAATGAGGGATGCATTTTCTGGGTCAGTACGCAGGCTCACCCTGCTGCCAAAGCCTGCTTGGACTCTTTCGGCTTCTGTGGAGCTGGGTATGCCCTGCCCACTATCTTCTCCTCCAGCAATGCATTTATAACTCTCTCTGTCAGCTCTGCCTGGCCATTCGTCTCTCCACCCCTGCACTGTACCCCCTCAGTTCAGAGCACATTTTTTTCCCCAACAGGGAAAAGCATCAGCAGAAAAGCCTGTGTGCTGATGCTTAGGAATGCAGCTAGATCAGCCTGGATCAAGCACCAGATGTGGGAAGCCAAAAGTTGAATGGTGCAGTCTCCAAATTCAACATGGCGGCCAGCTTGCCTGCTGTGCTTCAGTCAGGGCACACAGCTCTGCTTTTTGTTCCCTGTGCCTTCCTTGCTAGATGGCAACAGGATACTGCCCTTGCCTTTTCAGCAGTCCAGTGTAGCATTTGCCAGCCGCCACACTAATAATCTTGCTGTTAACACTCAGTGCCTACAGCCATATTTTTTCAGGTTTTTTTTTTTCCATTTTGTCTCAGGGATGTGAAGATCTCATTTGTAATTGTTGTGAGGTTAGTATCCCCAGCTCTGGTCATTTTCTTGAGCTTCTTTTCCAGTTTCTGTGAACACCTGTAAGTTTTTCTGACAGAAATTAGCACAGTGATCTCTAGTACTTTTGTTAAGAGAGTTCCAAGCTTCTTCTTGTACTCACTATTAGACATTTTTTAGTTTGAGAGTTCAGGGGGCAACTTCTTTAGCCTCCCCTGTTCTCATCCCTTTTATTGGCTGTGGAAAAAGACTTCTTTGCCCCCAGAAATTTTCCTTGCCTTCTAAAAGGATTATATTTTTATTTATACATTTCCTCATAAAGAGAAAAAATTGTGCTTTGCAACACTAAAATTGGCTAAATAAGAAAGAAAAAGAAAATCAACTCTCACAGTTAGCACTGGGAGTATTTCCTAGAAGAAGTGTTTTCCGAGATTCTTGTATCCCCAGGAATCTGCTGTCTGTCCCAGTGTCTTTTAAAGTGCCTGGCTGGGCTACTCTGAGGAAGGCCATGTGTACTCTGCAGGGCAGTTTGCTGTCTTGCAAAAGGTAGGGTGAAGCTTTCCAAACCAAACCTGGGTTTCCTCCTGAGTATGAGGAAGGCTGGCTGCCAGCACAGGAATTGCAACATCTATAAGTTGCGTGAGAGTAGGGTCTGTGTCTGGTGCCATGTTTTACCTACTGTAAGATGCCTGTTAATTGTGAGGTGCACTATTCATTTTGCACCACTGACAGGGAACACACACTTTGTGCTAAAATGTGAAGAAAATCTCAGTCCTAGAGTGAGAGTGGATAAAATAAGGCCTATTTGTATTCAAACAGTCCCTGGCACTGCATCTCATACATGGTTGGCATAAAATAAAAATTTGTCAGATGAGTGTTTGAATGACAGGGGATGGTGAGGATCTGGACATTGGAGTTCCTTGTTTATAAAGTAGAGTGCTCCTTTTCAGCCAATATGTTTATTGAATTCAAGCAAAACTACATACCCTGTTTGAGGTGACTGTGAGTGTCTGTGTGTATTTTAAAAAGAGCCCTGATGTCCAGAAATCTAGTTTGGTCAAAGTAAAATTAAATAGACTCTGGAAAAGGAGCTGTTAACCTGAGGTAGGGTTGGCAGGTTGAAAATGACTGAATTCTGCTGTCACTGAAGATCTTTAAAACATACACACCATTCCTGAGTTGGTAAATGCTTGGAGCAAGTTGTGATGGTGCTCCCTGAGCTGGAAGGTCTGAGAAACTTTTCTTCAGTGCACTGCAGATGTAACTGTGGCTGATGGGCTCCTCTCATTCCAGATATTCTCCCTATGTTTGGGGGTGGGTGGCACAGTGCAGAGATCAT